ATGACTACTTCACTCTACTACATATACCTTCACCCTTACCACTAACCACCTCCACATATAGTCTCCATCCACCTTCCCTCCACCCAAAGTTAGGGCTTGCTGAGTACGTATGTACTCAACCCCCTCCTCTTTATGTTTTTAGGAATGAAGCTGTAGAAGTATATCCGAGGATGAAGCTACCAAGGACTACGTAAGGATCCGACATCAGGAGGAGATTCAAGACGGAGTCGTGCGACTGCATGAAGGAGCTACGCTAGGACTACGACACTGTGATATAGGAATACACTATAGGAATAAGTCTAGGGTTACGTTCGCACTCCAAGTTACCTATAGAAATGGGGCCACGTTGTCATAGGACCGCTGTCTTAGAACTCTAATATACGATATAAGGCCAGTGCCCAAGCTATGTAATCCGAACCATGTAATATGTTTTTCCCATTAGAAATAAAAGTATGGTTTTTATATCAATCTTGTTCGAATTATACGTATCAGCTACTGATCCAGGGACTGGTACATGATGCACAGAGGACCCTAAATTAGGGCCCGACAACTAACGCGTGAAGGCGTGCGTGAACGCCAAAGGAAAATTTTTCATGAGCTTTGATCGCATTTTTCTATTCCTCCAAAATTACAATTTACTGGCCTTTCCTCTGGAAAGTTTCTCTTCATTTCGTTTGTTTCAAACTCATCCCCAGCATTCCTTTCCTCTGGAAACCAAACCTCCATTTTTCTATGTATTTCCTATGTTCCAAACAGGCCTTAAAGTTTGTTGCACCCAAATACTTCATGGCACTCTAAAATCAAAGTATTTTATAAAATTATGGTATTTTTTTAAAACTTCAAATATACTTTGTATCCCAACAGGGTCTTATATGTTTTCCTCGGGAAACAGTTTTGATTTGGTAGGGATCTCTGTGTGCACCGACATTGAAAAACATAAAAATAGTGATTATGATCAATTTTCTCTAGAGATCTATTTATGTATCTTATAATGATAACTTATGTGTTCAAAAATACAAACGACTCCTCACGAATTTGCTCTGCTTCTCCCCTGATTTCATGTTCCTACCAGAGAGAAACGGTTTGAAAATCCTTGACATGTGTCATCGTCCATCGTGCAAAGGACTACCAAAGCATCAATGCAACAACTCATTGTAAACAGCTGTCCAACCTTATCCGAGTGGCCATCTTTATAAACAAAAATATGATTTGGCGAAACGATTCGGCCGGGCACAAGCTGGATTCTTTTTATTATTATTATTATTATTATTATTATTATTATTATTATTATTATTATTATTATTATTATTATTATTATTATTATTATTATTATTATCTGAGAAGACAGAAGATTCAGGTACTAGCTGTACCTGTACAGAGGACACACCTGGAATGAGCCAATGGGAGCGCAGGCCCAAAGCCGACCCGGATCCAGCGAAGAACCAACCAGTTTGTCTGGACCGAACGGGCGCGCACGTACTGTACTGTCTGCAGTCTTCTACTGCCGCGTGGGCTGGGCCCCACGTTGGATGATCGGACGACTTGAAGACCCTCCGCGTCATCTATCGTGCGGTCCAGGTTGGCCGAGCATCTCCAGCGCATTCCAGCCTCTGGAACTCGCCCTTTTTTCCAAAAAAAAAAGCATGATTAGATGTTTTCTCTGTTTCCCTTTTCTTTGGCTGTGGACCACTAGTTATTGTGCCTGTGGAAGGAATTATTTCTCACACCATATATTTATTTATATATATATATATATATATATATAATACATCCTTCCATGTCACGCTTTCTAGTTCTAGCCATGACAACTGGAGTTCGGGAGATGCATAACTGTCTGTGAGATTTCTTTTTCATTATTTTTCGTTTACTAGACAGTGTGTTCGTGTGTAGTTACTGAACAACTAAATTTTTATATTAAAAATACACAGATCGTACAATAAGATAACAATACTGTGAAATTAAATACCCACATTAAAATGACATCAATCTAAAAAGCAAAGTTCGTAAAATTAACACGATCACGAAGAGCACAACGTCGCAAGCTCACCGACTCTACTGTATAGACCTTTCCAAATTTTTTTTGACTCAGATAATTAACAAATAAGCAATGCCCCGCGCCACATTTTTGTTGACTATTCACTGTGTTTTTTAAGAAAACATGTGATGGAGAGACATGGTTGGTTTTTAACTTTTTTTACATCATCACTAATCCAATTAAGAGAGAGGACCATAATTTTTTTTAAGAAAACAATGTCTATGAATTGTCACATTCTCAGAAAATTAAATTGATTGTCATCTTCCTATTTTTGCCAGTAAAATTATCTGAGCTTTATATGTATAACCTGAAAACTGAACTGCTTATCATCTTTCTATTTTTGCTAGTACAATTATCTGAGCTTCATATTTATAACCTGGACTCAACATGGTCATGCCAAGACATAAAAAGTTACCTTAGTTACAATATTATTATATTAAGCTCAATAACATGGCAACTGATTGTGCTCCGCATCAAGCATCAGTGTATCAATGCCAACCATTGACTCATCCTCTAGAGTTTACAAATGTAAGCCATGGCAATAAATTGCAACAATTCAGGGCAAGTTCAGTGAGAAATCCCTCTTTTTCAAGGTTTAACTTCAGTGAGAAATCATCATTCTTTTTCTTGCCTGCCTACATCATATTGTTCAAAAATAAACAAAGATCAATCCACAGACATTCAGCCCGTTCGCTTGGTCGTATTTGGCTTATAAGTCATGACTTATCAGCCAATGAACAATATTTTTCTCTCACACCAAACCAGCCAACAGTACTTTCAGCCATGGCTTAGAAGCCAAACCAGCCCAAACGAACAGGACGATTTTGCAATGCAGAGATAACTTTGTGACCTGGCTTGATGTTGCTGTTACGGGAACACCAATTCACCGAGCGAGGTCTAGAGGTGCAAAGGCATGATGCCAAACATCTGAATACCATCCAGTGTAATAAAAAAATTAGCAAGCCAAAAATTCAGTGGCCATAAAAAAAGTTGACAAGAGAAAAATATCTAATATATTTTACCAGTAAAGTATCTAACATTGGTACACCAAGGTCATGAATTGAGACTAGCAGTAAATAAATAAGGCTCAAGCTACTTGAAACGAGATTGGTACAGACAAAGGGCTAACTATGCTAAAAAAACAATGGCTTCCAATGTGCAGGCACACAATATCGAAAAAAATAGATGATTAACTATATAACAAGAACGTCTGTAGCATCATGAACTATGGTTGTGTAACATCATGAACGGCGAGCGTTGGAGGACAGGCGACGTCAATCGGTCTACATATGCGAAGACGACGGCTCAGGTGGCGTCGAGGTAGCGGCGCGGTAGCCGAGGATGACAGCTCGGGTGCATGGCGCGGGCGAACGGCGAGGACTACGGCTCGGACGTCGTGGAGGCGGTGGTGTTTCCAAGTGCACGATGCGGGCAAACGGCGAGGACGACGGTGCGACGTCGTGGAGGCGGCAGTGTGGCGCGCAGGGAGGATGACAGCGCGGGCGCACAGACCAGACGATGGAGCAGGTCATGGAGGGGAGATCGCACGGGGAAGGGAGATCGCACGGGGAGATGATCTTGCGGCGACCTTGCGGCGATAGATGATGTAGCCACAGATGCATCCACCGGTAGGCAGACGGTGGATGATCCATTGCTGCTTGCTTCTCCACTACACGACGAGGAAGAAGTAGGGGCGGCTCGATCGTGCAGGGGCTTGAGGAATGGGGCGCGCAACGATCGTCTCCGTGCAGCGACCAGTGACGCGCTTGAGTCCTACCAAGAAGACGCGTTCGATCGTGCAACGACGAGCGACGATGGTCTTCCGTGTTTGTAGCGCATGCAAATCAGGGTCAAGAATTTCATATTTATGGCACGAGGGCGGTATGATCGAGCGTGAGACGTGGGTGATCGCTTTCCTTGTTTGAGGCAATTAGGGTCAAGACTTTCCGTGTTTGTAGCGCATGCAAATCAGGGTTAAGACTTTTCGTATTTGTAGCGCATACAAATCAGGGTCAAGACTTTCCGTGTTTGTCGCAAGAAGGCGGTGCAAAGGTGAGGCGAAACTTTTGTCGCACCAAACGATTGTCTTACTTTTAGTCTTTTTACTGGGTAGCGTGCCCGTACGTTGCTACGGGACAACTAAATTTTTATACTAAAAACATACGGATCGCACGATAAGATAACAATACTGTAAGCCATATTTCTGATAGCTTCTCACATCCTGTTTATATCTATCTTAGAATTTCTGTTGTATGTATTTTACTCGCAATCTGACATATTTCTGATAGCTTCTCACATTCCTGCAATCTTATGGTTAAGAGGTGTTGTCATTCCATGAAAATATGCCTTCCTGATCACCTGATCTGTTTGATCAGATAACTTCTGAGATAACCAGACCAAGGTGCAAAATTCTAAGAACCAATTTTTGGCATCTTAATTACACAGTTTGAGACTGAGAGCTTTCAAACTTGCCTTTGCTGTCATGCGCTGGTGATAGCTTCTACAGTCACCCCACAATCTAACTGGCAGGCATAAGTTCCAGTTCTGAGACGCCGGGAGCATTTGGCGCTGGTGATAGCTTCTACAGTCAAACAATGGCAAGCGCACAAGCGGTGGACATCAGTGAGCATCCAAACCTCGCGATGGTGCTGAATGCACTCACCTAAAGAGGGCAACCAAGAGACACACATGTCGAACTGTAGTTTTTCTAATATTATGTAATTATTACTCTCTCCGACGTGTTTCTAATCTTTCATCTCTTAGTGCTAGACTGCTTGTGTTTTCTAGCGTCACACTAAGTTTTGTGTGATGATTTTTTTTGCTGAAATTGTATTCACCATTATTTGCTTATGAGATGTTCCATTATATTATTTTATTCATGTGCATGTGCATGTGCATGGTCCCCGTACGTGTTTGGACCATGACAGCTCAATGGAAAGATGGAACACAGGCAATAAACATCAAATCAAAGTAACCAGAAGCACAAAATCATGGCAAATGGCTGCGGTAACGATTCGATTTCAGGCACAGATAGAGGTTCACAGTCTAAGAACTTGAAGCAGAAACACAGAGGGTTCATGACGAATTACTGGACCAACATTCCCAAACCACTATCACGACAACACGCATCACATAGCCTCTGCACGTATCTATCCAAGACTCTTAAAGAGGCATGATTTCATATCACACAAGCAGTGGAGGCAATAACAAATAAAGAAATGCATTAGGGCAGGATGTGATTCACTAACAGGGTGGATGTTTGTGGAAGACAGAAGATGTTGGAAGCTCCTCGTGGCAGTCCGCAATCCTCCTCGAGGACACAGCAAGACGGCGAAGGCGATGGTGGCACAATGCTGAATTAAGTCATCGCAAAGCATAGTACAATCGGTTATATGGCATATGAAAATCAGGGGCACATAGACAAAATAGCCGGTTAGCTCCCCTTGGCATAACAGATTGCAAACACCAAAGCCAGGTGAAACCAGAATAAAGGGCGTACCCAGTGCAGAGAGCTCCCGCTCTGTTTGGGGTCTGGGGAAGGGTGTTAGTGGCAAGCCTTACCCTCGCCTGTGCAATGCGAGGAGACCGCGACTCAATCAGAATAATCTGATTAAAATAGTTGAAAAAGGGAAACACCGTTTCTATCTATGCAGTAGAAATAGGTACATAAAAAGAAAATTTGGTAATTAGGCCAATAGATACAAGCCGAATTTTAATTTGCAAACTCTTTACGGCATTGGCAGATTAATAGCCAAGATTTAACTGGAATTCATTTTAAAAAAAGATTTAACTGGAATAAGGGTAGTTTGTTGGTCATGTCCCTGGCAATCTCAAGAACTCCATGTGGCCTACACTGTATTCATATAAAATGCTCAAACCATCTATATAAAAGGATGATATGTCTTCTTACTAACATATGGGCAGTTGTTTCTATCTGAACCACATAAAATTTTAGTATTCTAGAAACCGGGGTGCAACCAAACGAATCTTCACAAGGAGACACATGTATGGTTTTCAGAACTGTACATGAATGGTTTTTAGAACTATAAGGAAAAAGAACAGAAGGTAAATATGTATCTTTGGTCTCGCACCATGTCATGCATTTTCAACATGGAGGACAGATCTTTAGCTTTATAAAGAGGTGTTAGTAGTATAGGAGGAAGGGAGGAGAAATCCACAAGCTCAATTGAATTAATCTACTTTATGTGGTGTAGGTCTGTATTAAAGGCAAGGCATACAAAATCTCACCTTGTTGTTGAAGAGGCAGCCATGATGCCAAATCTTCTGCGCAGCCCTTCCGAAGCAGGCAGCAATAACACCACATATCTGTTCAAGGCTAACCAAGAACTGAAAATCAAAACGACAACAAAAGAAACAAAGTCAGCTCAAACTGTCGAAGACCGATATTCATAATTGAAAGTAAATTGACAGGAAGCAGCATGTCCACCTCGTATCCCTGTCAAGCAGGCAAACCAAATAGTATTTAATTTCGTTAGGAGTAACAAGATTACAAAGAAAGAACTCTAAGGACACCAAGAAGAAAAGGAATGATGCATACCCGATCTGGGCGATGCCGCTGAAGATATCCAAGCAGGGCACTGACGAGCCATAGCGCCATATGGTCCATTAAAAACTGTCAATTTATAAACAGAGTAGGTGCTAAAATCAACAAAATTGGGGCATATGTTCTTGACAGATCATAGTATTTCCTATAATTTATATAGATTTTTGGACTATACCTGGATCACTCAAAAACTGGAGAGGAAACTTTAAAAAGATGAAGACGTATGTACCATACTGGCCTCAGCATCCTCGCGCAGCAGTCTTTTTCCGCATGGGCAAAACCTGGAAGATAAAAAAAATTGCAAACGGATCATTAGAGCAATGGAAGACAGGGCCTGAAGCAAAGTGGATGAAGCAACAACGAATCTGTCCAGAAGAGGAAAAAAATATGAGACCTGCAAGTGATTTTACCTGCAAGCTAGTAGCCTATCCAGAAGCTGAGATTTGCCATATTGCTCTTAAAGATTATCAACGTCCGGCAAAAACAGAATGCATTGCATCGATTTACCGCACAAAGATAGTTCTAAGGACCAAAAACCAATCTGGCCCAAATTGGTGTGATGAAAATATATGAAGCAAAATGAAGTTCAATAGTGACCGTAGCATTGCCAGATTGTTCAGAAGGGGTGTCCCAGTCAAAAGGAGCTTGTTATCCATTGGTATGCGCTTCATCTCCCTCAATAGTCTACACTTAGAATTTCTCAACCGATGCCCCTTTAGAAATCATAGAACTGACATGTAAATACAAAACGGGGAAAAAGCCATAAAAGAGCAATAAATCTATAACATTGGTTTTTTCTGTCACCTCATCCACAACGATGTACGTCCACATGCAGTGAGCAAGAAACCTTGCACCTACCATGGCAATCTCATATGAAGTCACTACTATAGGAAAATCAGGACCAGCAATTTTAGGAATGAATTTTTTTCCTATGTCAGCCCGGGCCACTTTATCTCCATGATAAACGTTTGAGTAATAGCCTGAAACAACCAAAGAAAACAAAAATATGTGTCATGCCTTCTAACTACGTGAACAGACAAAATCATCAAATAAACGGGGGGACGGGATGCACCTCAGCTGTGGGATGCCGCTCGCGTGAGGGCAGGCTGGCTGCCCGCCGGGCCCCCCTGTCCACGCGAGGCGATGTGCCCAGGAGGTCGGGGATTGGGGCAGGATGCATCGCCACCGGGGGTTCCATCCGCACGGTGTGGGACGCGCCGCCATCGAGGGGCGGGATGGGATGGCCCATGGCGGCGAGGAGGCGCCACTGCCTTGCGCTGCCGCCTGCAGAGAAAAAGGGGCGTCGCCACCGGTCCTCATGCGCCGATCCGCATGGAGGTGGGGGTGGCCGGTGGGGGCGGGATGCGGATGGCGCGAGGGGGCGCGACGGGGAGATGGGAGGGGAGGCTGCAGGAGGTAGGAGGCAGGGAGAGGACGCGGCACCGGATCCGGCACACCGCACAGGAGCGGCCGAGGGGGATCCGCCACCGCGGTGCATTCGAGAGGAGAGGAGAGCGTCGTCGTAGGCCGCTTGACGCCCTGACCACAAGCGTGACTGGACATAGGCGACCGAGCGAGCGGCGGCGGCGGGATTTGGCGCAGCTGCCGAAACCCCAAACACTAACCAATCCGACGCCGACGCGGGGAGAGGCGTGCTGGCGCGGCGGCGGCGTGGGCGAGCGCGCGGGAGCGGTGGCATGGGAGAGCGCGGAGAGAGGAGAGGCGCGTGCGATGGAGAGGAGAGGCGCCGCGCCGGTTCCACACTTCGCGCAGAGCGAGCGAATCGCCGGGCACGGAGAAAGATCGCACGGGGCGGGGCAGATGGACGAACCAAAACAAATGTCGCACCAAAAGATATCCACGTTTTGTTCTTTTTAGTTGTGGGGATTAATGGTAGGATATTGCAAACTATTTCAGTTGGCACTGGCCAGGACAGTCTAGATGATTCTAGAGGTGTTGCATAAAACAATCAAGTGTCCTCCACGTCTTTATGGAAAAAACTAAACTGCAATGGAAAATATAATACGAGTATGTTTCTCCAGCTTAAAAATGGAACACGAGTGGTGATATTTATAGTAAATTTTTAACAAAGTGGTACCTTACTTACAAACTTTGCTAAAAATATAATGATGACTCTGTCGTTCAGAAATTGTACCACTACTTTTCATGATGGTCTTGACATGATAGATTTCATTCAAAATGGTAAAAAGGTGAAATGATGGATGAAGTCAGTCCGAGTAACCCTAAAGGTCTGTTTGGTTACTTCAGAATGGACACATGAAACAATTTCTAGCTAGAACGATTGTCTAATTTGTATACCATTAATCTGTGGGAATAATTCCTGCCCTCATTTCGCACTAACCGAACATGCCCTAAGTGTGGTTAGGCCACAAGTCTAGACAAAACAAAAATGAACTAGAAAACAACTAAACAAGGTTAGGTCTAGTAAACGAAACAACCGCAACATTCTTTTGCCAACAAAACAAAACAAAGAACACAACTAAATAAGGCAAGCATCTGCCACGTTGTTTTTGGCAGCAAAAGTGAACGTGAAAACAACTAAACATGATGGTGCCTAGCACACAAACACATCCACCACACTCTTTTGATAGCAAAATGAATTAGACAACAATGAAACCAGATGTGGCAGCCAAATATACGATCACGAAGCAAAAAACGATCTAAGGTGGCGAACGCAAACTTCAACATGGATAAATGGCGCTTAGGCCGAAAACCATGCAAGCGTTTACGGTTTTTGTTTGGTTCACTGCACGAGAAAACATGCAATCGTTTACTGCCTAAATCGGAGGCAATCGATTTATTGAAGCTCAGGATCAATTGCATTGCTATCGTAGATGAAACAAACGAAAACTAACTATCAGCTTAGTGATCAAACCACTCCGAAAAATGCACCAACCGAACAACATCTAAGCAAGTACAGCGCGCTGAACATATGACACTATTCATCTGAAATCAAATCAACACAACTGAAAAAATAGCTACACGTGCACTTAAAAAAGTTTCTACCTCGAAGAGAGGTTAAAAAACGATACTGAATATGAAAACATCATCATGTTTGAAGATCCTTGCTGCCTATCCGAGTGGGCGATTTCACAGATCGACAAGCGGTGACGTGCTTTCCTTTGGGCGGGCGAGTCGGTGACGGGTCGGAAGTGCTAGATTGCTTGGGCAAGAGTGTGCAGGCCGACCAGCTTTGGGTGGGCTAGGGGTTGTGGATCTCCGTTTCTTCAGGTTTGTCCTTGTTAGGATAACTGAATTGGGGAAAGGAAAAGGAAGACAGACTTGGGAAGAAGAAGCAGAGCACGGGGTTAGGTTCAGATGAATGATTATAGTTTGGTTTGTTTGGTTCCATACATGTTGTTCGTCTCTGTGAGCATAGGTTCCCATATATACATCCGGCTTATCGGTGGGCTGTCCCAGCAGCACAGCTGCTTCTAGTACCTAGGGATCAAGCCCATTGAGGCCCAGTAGTACGAGTACTTGGAAGCTTAACACGCTCACTCTTCCTGCTGTTGCCGAGTGAGGTACCGCTGATGGGCCGTCTTCAGGGAATGCCGGTACAGTAGGTGCTGCCGTGACACTCCCCCTCCCTTTAGGACCTGCTTGACCCCAAGCAGGAGCGTTGAGGAACCGTTGCTTGAGAGGCTCGAGATCTTCCCATGTAGCTAATGATGGATGAAGTCCAAACCATTTGATGAGGCCCTGCAGAACCACAGCAGAAGAATCATTTGGAAGAAACACTTGCATGAAAGGACTTGTTTAGGAACCCGCAACCCAATCGCCAAATAAGATGGAAGTTCAGCCACTTGATGCTTAACAGGTAATGCTTGCTTCAATTGTGAGACATGGAAAACTAGATGGATCTGTGAAGTTGGTGGAAGAAGGAGCCGGTATGCTACTGAACCAACTCGAGCTGCAATCTGGAAAGGACCAAAGAACTTGAACGACAGCTTTTGATTTGCACGAGGAGCCAAAGAAGACTGGACATACGGTTGCAACTTGAGATATACCCAATCACCAGTCTGAAAAGTTCTTTCCGATCTCTTTTTGTCAGCTTGGTCTTTCATACGACGCTGAGCAAGTAGCAGATGCTGCTTGATCAAGTTTTGCATGACCAGTTTGTCTTCCAGCCAGTCAGTGAGCTCAACAGATGGGCATGCATCAATAGCATCAATGCCAAAATATCGAGGAGAATAGCCATAGAGGACTTCAAATGGTGAACGATCCAAAGGCCGAAAAGCCAACTAGAGTTATACCAAAACTCAGCAAGATGAAGCCACTCAAACCATTTTACTAGAGTAGCATGAACAAAGCAAATGAAGAAAAGTTTTCATACATTGATTCACGCTATTTCGTTTGGCCATCCGTTTATGGATGGTATGCGAGCTCATCTTCACTGGACATCATCAAAAGCTTGAACAATTCTTGCCATAGAGTACTTAGAAATATGTTATCACAGTCTGAAATGATGGAAGATGGTAAACCGTGAAGGCGGTAGACTTGTTGCATAAAAACCTTAGCCACGCCCAGTCCTGTAAATGGATGCTTAAGGGCAAGAAAATGACTGAATTTGGAGAAGCGATCCACTACGACCAAGATACAATTGTACCCATGAGACTGCGGAAGGCCTTCAACAAAGTCCATGGAGATAGACTACCATGTAGAGGACGGTACAGGGAGTGGTTGCAACAGGCTTGGATAGCGAGATCGATCAGGCTTGGACTGCTGACAAGTAGGACAAGTTGTGACGAAGTGATGCACATCAGATTTCATTCCGGTCCAGGCAAACAACTGATGGACACGACGATAGGTAACCGGAACACCTGAATGTCCACCGATCACGATGTATGCAGAGCCTCAGATCACTTGAGCTTGCAATTTCTTGTTGTTACCAAGCCGATCACGGTCTTTGTAGCGGAGAAGCCCATTCGAAGAGTGAAATTGGGAACATGAGATGGGTCCACACCAATTGTGCTACATAAAGCTATGCTCGAGGATCGGAAGAGTAGCCGCCACAATTTCAAAGACACCACTGTGGGATTGCGTAAAGACATGGCAAAACATGATTCTCGAGAGCATGTGGTCGGCGAGATAAAGCATCGCCTACGATTGTCGACCCCTTTCTTGTAGATGATCTAATATTGTAACCCAAGAAGCTTGGTAAAAACTTTCACCGCCAAATTGTATTCAAAGCATTGTTCGTTGAGGTGTATCAAGCTTTTCCGATCAAGAAAATGAGGAACTCAAACAAGTCAGTAAATAGGATCTCCATTGCTCTACTGCCAATAAGATGGCCATGTACTCTTTCTCATATGTGGACAGACCTTGAGTATGTGGACCCAATGGTTTACTGATGAATGCCAAGGGATGCCATTGTTAGATGCATCCGTTTCAATCGCAAATGGTTTAGTAAAGTCTAGAATAGCCAGGACTGGGGCCGAGCTCATGGCTTGCTTCAAGGTATCAAAAGCTAGCTGATGATCAGATGTCCAAACAAAATAGGCGCCCTTTTTCAGCAAATTAGTTAATGGCTTGGCAATGACAGCAAAGTGTCTGATGAACTTCCTGTAAAAACCAGCCAAACCCAGAAAACTGCAAAGTTCACTCACATTAGAGGGGGTTGGCCATGTAACAATGGCTTCAACCTTAGCAGGATCTATGGCAATGCCCTCTGAGCTGATAATGTGGCCAAGATATGACAGCTTTTGTTGAGCAAAGCAACACTTAGATAATTTGATGAGCAAAGCAACACTTAGATAATTTGATGTGCCAATGCTCTGACTGCAGAAGCTCAAACACCTTCCTGAGATCAATCAAATGCTGCTCATAAGTTGGACTGAAAACTAAAATGTCATCAAAGAATACTATAACACACTTGCGGAGAAGGGGTGCCAAAGTCAAATTCATGGCCTGCTGGAAAGTGTTTGGAGCTCCAGTGAGACCAAACGCCATGACCTTAAACTCAAAGTGACCGAGTGAGTGGAGAATGCTGTCTTATGTTCCTCACCCTCCTTGAGTCTGACTTGATGATAGCTAGCAAACAGATCCAAGATAGAAAACCAGTGAGCTCTAGATAATTCATCCATGAGTTGGTCAAAAACAGGTATAGGAAAAGTGCCCTTGACTGTAAGATCATTCAAGTAACGATAGTCAACACAAAAACGCCAAGATTCGTCTTTCTTTCGCACCAACAGCACTAGAGATGAGAAGGAAGAGCTACTGGGCTGG